CCATGTAATATATATGGAACCATATAATATATCTACATTTCATTTTTATCTGGCTTCTTTTCTTTTTTTGTCTTTTTCCTTTTTATGGGTACCGGGGATCGAACTCATGACTGCCTGCTTGCAAGGCATGCGCTTATGCCGCTGAGCTAAACCTCCAGCCCCTCCCGGTTCTTTTCTTATTGAAACAGCTCTGCTAAATTCTTCAGGCTAGCCATGATCTTGAGATCCTCCTGCCTCTGTTGCCTGAAAAGCTGGAGTTAAATATGTGTGCCACATTCAGATAGGTGTCTAGTGTTATTACATTTTGGTGTTAGTTTACATTTCCTTGATGTCCATTACAGTTAAACATTTTCATAGTTATTGGTCACTTGCTATCCTCAAGTTCAGTATCTGCTAAAATTTTGACCCATTGACTCTCTTTTTTTTAGCGGTTTTTTTGTGATAGAATTTGCATACTATAAAATTCAGTCTTAAAAGTACATAGTTTGGTATGTTTTTAGTACATTTACAAAATCGTACAGCTACCACTACCAATTCCAGTGCTTTATAAGTTACTCCAAAAAAGCCATACCCACTGGAAGAAACTCCCCTTCATCCATGCGCAACCCCTATAGATTTCTCTATTCTGCACAATTCCTATAAATAAAATCACACAATACTTACATAGTCTTTTGTGATTGACTGGCTTCTTTCAGTTAACTTGTTTTGAAGGTTCATTTATGTCATAGTACATCAATAAAGTACTTTTCACTTTTATGGATATAACTTTTTTTATGCATTCATTAGTTGACTTTACGCACAATGCTGTTCTAAAATTTGTGCATGTTTTGTGTGGAATGTATTTTTATTTCTCTTGGTTCTGTGATGGGAGCACTCAGCAGAGCTGAGTCATGTGCTAACTTCATGTTTAACATTTTGACCACCTGCCAGGCTGTTCTGACAACAGCTACTGCGGTTCACATTCCCACCAGCAGTGCATGAAGGTTTTAGTTTCTCATGTTGTTGTTCTTTATTTTTGACATTCTAGTGGATAATAGTATCTCGTTGTGGTTTTATTTATTTTGCTACTGAGGGCCTTGAAGCTGAGCTACCTCCCCAGCCCTTTCTCATTTTTTATTTTGAGGCAGGGTTTTGCTAAGTCACTAAGTTGCCCAGGCAGGGCTCAAAATGTGCCATTTCCTGCCTCGGCCTCCTTGAAGGATATAAGAATGCAATACCATGCCCAACTTGTCTATGATTCTTTTTTTGTTTGTTTGTGTGTTTGTTTTTTGGTACCGGAAATCAAACTCACAACCTTGCACTTACCAGGTAAGTGCTTAAGCCACTGAACTAACGCTCCAGCCCCATCTTGTCTATGATTATTAACTTGCAGTAATTCAAGATTTGCTCTGAGACAGATGCCTTGTCAGATACATATCTCTTAGTTTCTAATTGCTTATCTCCTTTTCATGATCAGAAATTTTAGTTTTAATACAGTGCAGTTTATCAACTTTTATACATATTTTCTTTTTTTAAAAGAGTAAGAGCATAGTGACGCATGCCTATAATTCCAGCACTTGGGAAATTGAGACAGGAGTATCACCACAAATTGAGGGCCACCTTGGACTGCGTACATACTGAGTTCAAGGCCAACCTGAACTACATAGTAAGACCCTGTCTCAACAAACAAAACCAAAAGAGTAAGAGATATTTAAAAACAGTTAAAAAAAAATAACCTAGTATCCAGGTATTTGTTGGTTAAAAATATAGTCTTAGTTATTGGTTGCAGAGATAGAAAACCAAATTTAAGATCTGTAGGGGCACCTACAGTAGGCTTTTCAATTAGCTAGACCTTCACAAACTTTAATCACTGAAACTACAATATTCTCATAAAGTAGATGACATTATGCCTGACTTGTAAATGATGAACTGGAGATCCAGAGAGGTAAACTTTCCCAAGCTCACACAGCTAATTAGTTTAAAACCAAATCAGTCTACTCCAAAACTATCACCTCACTGTACATTTTTATTATAATATCGTAAAGATTTCTAAATTTTAAATGTAACCTGTTCATTTTAAATTGCTGTGCTACCTGGCCCCGTAATGCATGTTAAATGCCTAGGAAGCCAAGTACCTACAGACATTAAGAAGTTTAAAGGCTGCAGAAGATAGATTAACCATCGAGAGATCTTACAGGACATGGAAGGCATTGAAGTAGTAATCTGATGCCAGGGGAATTGAGTACCTAAAAGGCTCTTGTCAGGGGATAATCTTGCAAAAGAAACGTAGCTGTGTAGATGGTGTGGTGTGCTATATACTTTATTTTCCATACTATGAAGTATAGGAAATTTCCTGTAAGTGTACTAATGCTGGGGCTGGGGATTTAGCTCAGCGGCTTTATGTGCCTACCTAGCAAGCACACAGTCATGAGTTCGCTCCCCAGTACCGATAAAAAAAAATTAATAAATAAAAATTCTTTAAAAAGTGTGGTAATGCCAAAAAGAGTATTTTCTAGGGCTCCCTCTGCTAGTTTCCTAGAGGTAATTAATATATTTACTTTTCATTAATGTGCGTAATAATGATATAAGTGAATTTGAGGAAAAAATTAGTTTCAGGGACCATTAGAAACAAAGGTAATCAAGGTTGGTAGCAAGTGAAATGGAAAAACAGTTGGAGGAAGGATGATTTAAGTTTACTTATTTTAGAATTTAAAATTAACTATTGAATCTTTTTGAGTTACAGGAATAATACTTCTGAGGGTTAAAACAAGTAGTTTAAACTTTATACTGGGACAGTACATGATAAAAATCAGTACCTAGGGTCAGCTTTCTAAGCTGGCAATGACATTACAAAAATGCTATCTTACCCAGACATGGCAGCGCTCTACTGTAATCCCAGCATCCAGGAAGCTGAGCCAGGAGGATTGCTGGGAGTTTAAGGCCACCTTGGCTACAAAGTGAGTTCAAGGTCAGTTTCACCATATAGTGAAACCCTAAGCACCTGCCTGGCAAGTGTGGGGTCATGAGTTCCGATTCCTGGTACTATACATATATGTGTGTGTGTATGCATATATACATATGTTTATATATGTGTGTGTGTGTATATATATATATATATATACCCCCCCCAAAAAAAGTGAACTTTTAGCAGCAGCAGTGAAGTCCAGGGTTGATCGATAAACTTGTTACATTCTAAATAAAGTGCTATTATAAAGTGTTATTTGGAGACATTCAGGTTTAATTAAATAATGAGATGTGGAGCTCTCTGGCGGCACCTAGGGATCTGTGCCTTGTCTGCTCTTTCACACCTGAGGCTTTCAGAGCTAACTGATAGCCTCAAGATGGCCAGACCTTTTACACCTAGTAGTGCAACTCTTCCCTGACAGCTGTAACTTGACTTCTCTTTTCCTATAATAGCTCTAGGCAGGTACTATTTAACTTTCAGAATTTCTATCAATGAAAGCTCTGTTACTTTGGGTTCTAGACTCTGTGTGTGTGTGTGTGTGTGTGTGTGTGTGTGTGTGTGTGTGTGTATGTGTGTGTGTGTGTGTGTAACACATAGACTAGGAAATATCCCCCATTTAAGAAAAACGAAGTATTGGTGCTGGTGGCACAAGCACCTGCCTGGCAAGTGCAAGTGAGTTTGATTCCTGATGTCAAAAAAAAAAAAAAAAACCAAACAAACAAAAAAACCAGAAGGAAAGAAAGAAAGAAAAAAGAAAAACTTAGTGGGGCTGGGGATTTAGCTCAGTGGCATAAGCACCTGCCTGGCAAGCATAAGGTCATGAGTTCAATCCCTGGTACCAAAAAAAAACTGAAACAAAAAACTTAGTATTAAGAAACTAAGCAATATATTCTAATTAATTTATTAGAACTAGTACCTTTATGGGTGCATTTGATATTTAACTTAGTTTATAAGAAGAATTTTGTCTGTTTTGCAGGAAAAATTGCACAAAGCAGATCAAGAGTTTTAGGTAAAAACCAAAGCAAATTTAATTGCTATGACTAGAGAGGTCTATTATTCTTTAAGAGCAGTGATAGTATAATTTGGCTTAAAGTAAGTTATTATAAAAGGTAATATTAATCCAGGAATTAACAGTTCTGATTGGCATTGGTATTAAGAATGTATTCTGGAAACAACCTGTGTTCATTTTGAAAGCGGTAAAATGATTTATTATTGTGTAAATAGCTACAGCTTCATATGTAAATGAATCTTTGTAGGAGAGTTTTGATATTGCTTAAATTATATCAAGCAGAATAAAAATTCTTTAGAGCATTGTAAAAATATTTTGTTGAAAAATATACAAAGTAGATTTGATTCACTTTTAGGCTTTACTGGCCATATTTCTATTTCTAAGTCCTAATACTGTGTAAATTTAGGGAAGGTCACAGTTTGAATCTGTATCATATCTTCCTCTTAGACATGACATGTCGTCATGTCTTGATAGCCTGTTTGATTTTGTGTACAGTGACTGGACAGCTGCGTGTCCATCTCCCCACCTCTTCTTGCCTGTTCCGCAAACACATTGTAACTGTCTTGATATAGTTCCTATCCGTGTAGCTGCATGGTGCCTTGCTAGTCTACTAGTTCAAGAATACATGTGTCACTCAGTTGTAATGATTAACCGTTTACCATTAAATCTGCCAATGACTACGATCACACACACACACACACACACATATACATACACACACACACTCTCTCTCCACCACCGCTGCCAAAAGGGAGAAAGTGGTATGGAAATAGATTTATAGACAAAAAAGAAAACCTCATACAGAAAGTAAACTTAAAGAACAGGTAAAATTTAGGGAGCTAGAAGGACCATTATCTGGGAAAAGATAAAGAGAAGTTAGAAAATTACCTTGTGCCAATGTTTTACTATCAATGAAATTAGTCCATTTTTACTGAACATGAATAGCTACTATTTTAAAATTTAGCTTACAGTTTCTACTTTTTGCTTGAGCAGTGTTTACTTTTAAGTTATTTTGCATTTTCCATTTTTGGTATTTTGTTTTTACAGGTCCAAGAAAATTCCCCAGGACACAGAGCTGGATTGGAGCCTTTCTTTGACTTTATTGTTTCTATTAATGGTTCAAGATTAGTAAGTCCATTTTTTTTTTGTAATTTTGTCTGTAGTACTTCATAATCTTTTACCAGTGTTCCTTTTTGGATTATGTTTGACAGATTTTTATTAATGAGTTACAAATACATAGCATATGATGCTAGCTTTTAGAAATACTGTAATAATGTATTAGTAAACATTAAGGTATCAAATCTGTAGTACTATATTACATTTAGTAGTTTGGTGATTATCTTAGAGGAGAAGAATCCCTAAAAACTTTCACTTTATATGTAAGTGTTTAGTTTTTATAAAGAGAAGAAATAATTAGGACGAGAAAAATTGTTTTTAAAGATGTCAGACTCTTGCAGCTTGAAGACAGATGAATTAGTAAAGTGTCATTTTACTTCTTAGAGCTAAGTTTCATGGTACATAATTTTTTCAGTACAGAATTAAAGCCACTTTTTATAAATATTTTTCAGCTACCCATAAGAAAGTCCTATAGGAAAGAAATCATGTAATCTTGACAAAGGAAATTCCTGTGACACTAGTTACTAAGTTAGCTTATTTTTATAAAAAAGTTTTAAGTTTTTATCCATTACTAACCAACATCTCTGAAATAATGGCTTTTATTCATATATGTAATGAAATATTTAATATTATGTACCCATTTGCTTTTCTTTCTTGTTCCTAATAAGTAATAAAAGTATATATTTACAAGTAGAGTCCAAAATCTATTAGTTTTAAAAATCAAAGTTATTCCAATTTTGGTAGTAACATCACTTTTTTTTTTCAAATATTCATTTATTTGAAGATACTTAGTTAAAAGATCTGTTATAATTCCATTTCTGAAGCATTTGCAGAGAAAAATACAGTTATCGATGTAAAATAATATATTTGTTGCATACTGATCTATATCTAATTTTGTTTTTAAAAAAAGAAAAAGAAATAAGTATATAAATGATCAGATCTCCCCAAAATAAATATAGACAAGAAAGAGTTACATAATAATAGATTATATACATTGGCACAATATATTTTAGAAATAGTTTTATGCTCTTAAATCTTGTGACTATTCCTATAAAATGTATATACAAGTATGTGAAAAAATAGTATGACATAAACATTAACATTTCAAATTAGTAGCATAGGAAACCATCCCTACATTTAAAGGAGAAAATGAGTAAATTTAGCAATATTTTTTTAATTTTTAAATTTATTTAAAGGCTTCTTAAGGAATATTATGTGTTCAGTCACTGAAGCCCTTGGTCACCCTAAATAATGTTGGGTTGTAAAATCCATAGTCAGCTACTGGAAGAAAGGTCAGTTTGAGTTGTTGTGTATATAAATGTTGGTGTGTGTATGTGTGTGGTGCTGGGAATCAAACCCAGCCCTTTTTTATTTTTATGACAGAGTTTCCCTAAGTTGGTCAGGCTGGACTCAGACTTGGGACCCTCTTGCCTCAGTTTCCTAGAACGTTAAGACGATAGAAGTATACCACCATGCTCAGCTGTGAATCTTTCTATGCTGATTATTAATATCCCTAAAAGAATATTACTCTTATAGATTAATACTACTCTTTTAGCATAGGATGCTTGTGCTAAAAATAGTGAACATTAAGTTTTTATTTATTAGGAATATAATTTCTATTTGTCCACAGAATAAAGACAATGACACTCTTAAGGATCTACTGAAAGCAAATGTTGAAAAGCCTGTAAAAATGCTCATCTATAGCAGCAAAACCCTGGAGTTGCGAGAGACGTCAGTCACACCAAGCAATATGTGGGGTGGCCAGGGCTTACTGGGTGTGAGCATTCGTTTCTGCAGCTTCGACGGGGCAAATGAAAATGTTTGGCACGTGTTGGTAGGTACTGATCAGGGGCAGTTACTTGCATTGTACGAGGCAGTGTAGGGAGAGCTGTAACAGTGGTCATCTCTGGGATGGCGGGGGGGACATTGTAAGGTTGATTATTATTAGGCTGGAGATTATTGTTTAGTTTCTAAAATCAGCATTCATTGCTTTTCAAATGTAGATTAAATTTTTAAAAACCTTTAATAAGAGAAGCAAATACAGAAGTCTAAGAATTCTTTTTCTAATATTTTTCTCATTAGAAAAAGGTTAAGGCAAATAGCTATAGAAGTATTTGCAGTATTATATGATACATGGTTTTTATGCTTGGAAGTTTTAAATATATATATTCTGTAGTTTTTACATCTGACAGTACAATAGAAATTTAGGGATTTTTTTAAAATCACTATAATTAAGAATTGGAAGAATAGGTAGGTATAGATATAAATATCCATATCCATATGTGTATGTATTTATTAATTTGGGGGCATGTTTTGATATCATCCTAGGAAGTGGAATCAAATTCTCCTGCAGCACTGGCAGGTCTTAGACCTCACAGTGATTATATCATTGGAGCTGATACAGTCATGAATGAGGTAATCAGTATTCATTGATAATTGTTCAACATTTTCTCATTGATGGGTTTGTTTTTGAGACAGGGTCTTGCTATGTAGTTCAGGCTGGCCTTGAGCTCATTATGCAGGCCAGGCTGGCCTCAAATTTGCAGTAATCCTTCTCTTTAGCCTCCCAAGTGCTGGAGTTAGAGGCATACTGCACTATACCTGGCTTTCTCATTGATGTTTGAAATCAGGTTCTTTGTATGAAGGGTTGAAATCGTGGTTTTTGCTCATCAGGCTAGCTTAAGCTTTGTGTTAAGTGGAACTTCTGAGACATACTTGGTTGTGACTGTGGGAAAAACATACTGTGTGGCAGTTGTACAAATTTTGTGTGTAATATACAGAAGTCTGTTAGACATATCAAGACTAAATCAAATCTTCATTTTGATCATTGATTTCATTTTCTTTTGCCCTTTTTGCTTCTTAAAGTGACAAAATTATCTCAACTGTTAGATTCTTTTCCTCCTCTGTTAACTTGTGGAAGTATACATGATTAAGTCAAAACTGAAAGAAAAATAAAGTGCTCGGATTTTAATAATGGAAATAAAGCAAAGCTTGGGGTAGGAGAGTTTTATTTAGTAAGAATGTCAGCTAGACCTCATAGACTAGAGCTAAGGGCCTTGCACCTAAAGGCCTTGCTTGTATTGAGTATTTAAACACACATGTGGAGCATTAGTCTAGGGAAGGGCTCAAGGGCCCAGAAGTCAAATTTCTTTTTTTTTTTTTTTTTTGTCTTTTTCTTTTTTATCGGTACCGGGGATCGAACTCACGACTGCCTGCTTGCAAGGCAGGTGCTTATGCCACTGAGCTAAATCCCCAGCCTCCAGAAGTCAAATTTCTAAAAGATGTTGCCCAGAAAAGTACTGATAGTGGCCAGGTTTGTGACTCACTTTTCTGAAGTACAGTACCTTAAAAACACTTACACTGTAATGCTTCCACAGTCTGAAGATTTGTTCAGCCTTATTGAAACCCATGAAGCAAAGCCGCTGAAGCTTTATGTGTACAATACGGACACCGATAATTGTCGAGAAGTGATTATTACACCAAATTCTGCATGGGGTGGAGAAGGCAGGTATGCTGGTTATTTGAGACTGTTATGACTGCCTAAACCTGTCAGTTGTGAATATTGATTGCTTTTGTCATGAAATATTATTTATTGTAATATTCTTTAAAAAAAAAAATTGGGGCTGGGGATTTAGCTCAGTGGCATAAGTGCCTGCCTGGCAAACATGAGGTCATGAGTTTGATCCCTGGTCCTAAAGAAATAAATAAAATTTTTTTAAAAAACATATTGAAATCAATAATGGGGGGAGGCAGTACTGGGTATGGAACCCAAGCATTTTCCACCACTGAGCCACATCCCCAGAACTTTTTATTAAACTTAGGGTCTTACTAAATTGTCCAGGCTGACATCAAAATGTAGGATCTTCCTGCCTCAGCCTCCAGAGTAGCTAGAATTACAGCCATATGCATCCATACTTGAATGCATACTTGAAACCTAATTGTGGAGAGCCTTAAATACCATGGACAGGTATTTGAACGTGCTTGGGAGGTTATATTATATTTGGAGTGTATCAGTAGGCATTCTTTGGTCACACACAGTAGAAACCAGCTGTCACTATCTTAAGGAGACAGAAACTTATTGATATGGATTAGCTTATATCGTGAAGGAGACAGCTAAAGAACCAGATACGGAAAGAGCAGGACACAGAATACCTCTAGGAATTTAGAGAAGCGCTAATGGACAGTTCTGTCAGCATTTTATAGAAGGGAGGAAGCCATTTTTGTGATTTTTCCAGTTCCTTTTTAAGATTTGCAGCCCTGGGCAAGAAAAGTTGATTGGCCTGGCTTTGATCATGAGCTGCTCCCGTGGGCACGGCAGTCAGCTTAATTGCCAGTTCCGCCAGCACTGCACACAAGGACAGAGAAGTAATTCCGCAGAGGAAAGAAGGGGAGTGGAATGTGAGGAAGCAGTGTGATCACATCTTTTAAGAAAAATGCCTCTGATAGCAGTAGGAGGATGAATTAGAAGAAATCTGGATTAAATATGCATGGCTGCTTTATGTCACATTCTGAAATAGAACTATCAGAATGTGCAAATGATACCATCCTGAAAAAGTGCTCAGAGCTCCTCAATGTATCATCCATCCCACAAATGACTTAAGTGGCAGGCAGGTGCCAGGAATTGTAAGGCAATAAATGACCAAGGTCTGTGACCCTGCTGGCCTCAGCATTTTATTGAAGGAAATGGACAGTAAATAAATAATATCTAGCATATTAGGTAGTGATAAATGCTTACCGAGCAATGAAAGAGTACAAATGGTATCTGTGGTAGAGAGAAGCAGGCTGCATTAAATAAGGCAGACAGTGGCGACCTGTTTTTAAATAAAGATAACTTTATTATTTAAAAGAATAGATGTATATATGTTTGGTTATTTCAAAACCTCAAAGAAATGCAAGCTGAGATTGGTAATGATACCTTTAAGAAAAAAGTGTTTTTATAGCCTAGGGTGTGGCATTGGATATGGTTATTTGCATCGAATACCTACACGGCCGTTTGAAGAAGGAAAGAAGATTTCTCTTCCGGGGCAAATGACTGGTACACCTGTCACTCCTCTTAAAGATGGGTTTACAGAGGTAAGATGACTGCCTGGTGGTTCCACCAAAACAAGCCAAATGTATTGGTGCATACCATGGTAGCATGGAGATGGGGCATGGGATGGTTCAGTATTGGCCTTCACGTTGAATCTGAGTTTTCTGGAAAGTTTCCAGGTAGAATTTAGATATGGATGTGGGTTTTAGAAAGAGCACAGGGGAAGTGACACAGACTTGGAAATAGTGAACAGAGAGGCTAACTAACCCTAGTGAATGTTGACAAAAATTGTTGAAAGGCCTTGGGCCTGTTTGGGTTTGAGGACTAAGTTTAGATTCTTGAAAACAGATGTGCAGTGAAAGGAGACTCAGTTAAGCAGCTCAGAAGGTCAGAAGGTGACACCTGAAAAAAAGGATCAGGTACTGCTGCTGGGAAATTAGGTGGCAGGAGTGGAAAGATGGCCTGGCAAAAGCCATTCTAGAGACTTGATGGGGAGCGAACACCAAGTGACAGGTGATGCAGTATATATAGAGAGCATCAGGGGAAGGTGGCAGTGCCCACTGATCCGGGAAGCCTCAAGGAGAGGCTAGGAGAGCCCACTGTTGGGCCGTTTCTGAGTTCCTCCAACAGCATCCCAGGACAGATACTCTTGTCTGCACTACTAAGTGAAAAGCAAAAAGAAACTACTAAAACCCAATAAGAAGATGTGAAGGTGGGTCTGCTGCCACTGTCATTTCGTGGCACACAGTTTGGTCATCCCGAACACTGAGGCGGTGAAGCTGTCAAGCAGCCTCACCGCTCCTCACTCCCATCCACACTGTGAGTTCAGCTCCAGAGGCAGTGGAGCTACTGCTCCGACTCTGCCACCAGCTCTCCCGCCCAGTGGACCCCTGAGAAGACTGGAGAAGAAACCCAGCTCGGGAAAGGCAGAACAGAGGCGCTGGTGGAACACAGCCCAGGGCACTGAAGCAGTTAGAGTGTTCAGAAGTGACAGCGCCATCCATAGAGTCCAAGAGCAGTTACTCACTGATGAGAAAAGGGCTAATGAATCCAGGAGCTTAGAAATCATGAGAATTCTCTTCTTTTCCTTTTTTTTAATTTTTAAAAATTTTTTTTATTTTGAAGAGAATAAAACCTAGCAAAACAAAACAGTGTTTTCAAAACACTGTTAACAAGATAGAAAATCAGCGATGGCTACCATAATGCCTCTTGTTTTCAAAACAGCTGCCCATACCATCAGACATAGGAAAATCAAGCAAAACAGAACAGAATAGAACCAATAAAAACACAAAACAGTGAGCACAATAAGGACCTCAAAACAAGCTAATAGTAAATCTAAAATAGCTACCATGATTTATCTTGTTATCTTTGAAATAACTGCCCATGCCATCAGATACAGCAAAATCAACAAGATGAAACAGAATCAAACCAAACAAAACAGAACAATGAAAATGACACAGGACTTCCAAACAAGGTAATAGGGAATTAGCATGCTACCACCTTCAAAAGGAAATCCCCATAGATGCTGTACTGCAAATCATTACCCTCTAAATAGATGATTTAACCAGCTTTCGGCTTTAGGCCTGCAAAGTTAACAAAACACTGAACACTTCAATAGCGATTATCTCAGCCTGTGTTTCTCTGATCAGCTTATAGCTCCTGTGGGGGGTGGGGAGGAATCTTGGCGCTCCTTATCTCCCAGTGCATGCACTCAGGGGGGCTGGAGTCTGGTTGTCCTCCCCTTTGCCCATGTATGGCAGTGACTCACAGAAAATCGTCTTTCCTGCCCTCCCCTCCCCTCCTCTGCCCTTCCCTGCTCCTTTCCTTTCTTTTCCTTTTTTTGAGACAAGGACCTGCTGTGTAGTTCAGGCTGGGCTTCAATTCACTGTGTAACCGAGGCTGCCCTCAAACTCACCCGTGTTCCGGCCTCTGCTAGGATCATAAACATGCACCACCACAGGCAACAGAAATTCTGAGAATCTTTAAGAAATGTATCATTGTATTAAGACTTCATGCTGCTTCCTTCCATGATCAATGAAAGGATTGTTTTGTTTTGTTTTTTTAAGCAATTAACTGAGAATTCTAAAAGGAAAGCAGTGGTGTTTAAGGGTTGAAATAAAATGATTTTTGGGTGATAGGAAGGAAGGAGTAGAATGTCTCCTGTGTCAGTATATATAACTGGGGCTGGGAGCTCTGTCCACTGCAGGAAAGTGGAGCAATAGAGGATCTTTCTGCACATGGCTCCAGCTGTGTGTCAGTGCTAGCGAGCAGTGCCTGGAGGTAAAGATGCCGGGGAACCCTCGGATAGCTAGTGTCCGGTCCAAGTGTGCATGTGACACACAGGGGGGAAACCATGAGTTGTATACTGTTTTAAGTAACTTTCTTCTTTTAATGGGGATTGAACTTACTACCTTGCGCTTGCCGGACAGACACTTAAGTTACTGAGCTAAATCCCCAGCCCTATTTTAAGTAACTTTCTGTTTTTCCTCCTTTTCTGGAAGGTCCAGCTGTCCTCAGTCAACCCCCCATCTTTGTCACCACCAGGAACTACAGGAGTTGAACAGGGTCTGTCTGGACTTTCCATTAGCTCAACTCCACCAGCTGTCAGTAATGTTCTCAGTACAGGTATGGAGAAATATTTACTGTTTTCAGGCTACTTCCTCTTGCATGACATTCTTACATAGAATTTTACAAAGTAACAGCTGTGTGCCTTGAAAGCTGTAAGTATGCGCTGGTTGACACACGGCCCTGCCTCTGAAACCTGGTAGTACATCACCGTGCTCATCCACACAGGGCCAGCATTTAAATCTGCTCTCTGCGTAATTAGGCCTGGGCCTCCTTCGGACCATGCAGTGTACGGAGTGGGGCCTCTGCCTTGAGTTCCCTAACAGCTCTCTTTGCTGGTTTCTTGACTCTTGGGTAGGGGGCTTGCAGAAGTAAGCAGGGACTCCTTTCCTAGGGGCTCAGTCTTACTCATGGGACATATTTCTAGTGCTCACCTTTATTTTTTGTTCTTCCTGATAGTCCTTTTTTGTTTTCATTCTTTTTTTTTTCTTCTTAATTTTTGTTGTTGTTGGGACAGATTCTCATTATGCAGTTCAGGCTGGCCTTGAACTCCCTGTGTAGGCCAGGATGGCCTCTGACCTGCAGCAATTTTCCTGTCTCAGCCTCCCCAGTGCTGCTATTACAGATGAGCAGCACCGTCATATCTGGCAGTTTGAACTCTTAAATATTTGTGCTCAGAATTTGCTTATAGCCTGTTTTGTTCTGGAAGGGACTTCAAATAGACCACCAAGAAGCAGTAGTAAAATGAGCAGCGTGTATGTTAAAGTTGGTTCCCTAATTTTAAGTCCTAGCTCTTTTCAGGGTCTTGGAATTATTTTTTCCAGAAGTATATTTTCTTAGGTAAAATTTAAAATTTCAAACATACACAGCAATGATGAAATAGTATAATAAACCCCTGTGACCCAGGTTCACCAATTTTCAGAATGGAGATGTAACCTCCCTACCCTTTCTTTGCTGGTTTCCTGCCCAACTCTATTGAGGTATGCTATATTTTGTAGACCCTGAAATTAACTCACTGCAAGTGTACAACTCTGATTTTTACTACAGTCTAGTTTTAAAACACCTTATAGGTGGAATCAAATATTAGTATCATTGGTTATCATAGACAGTGTTGGAAGACATCTTAAAGTTTGTTTCATTCAAACTGTGTGTGAGTCCTTTTTATATGAAAGTATTCATATAACATCCCATCAAATAACCTTCTACTTTATTCCTGAACAAACCTGGAAAACATAGGCTGGGATACTTCCCAAGGCAGTAAGCCATCGTGTAGTAGAATAATTCTTACCTGTTTTAAAGTAAGAGTGTTGCAGATGCCATGTGATAATAGTTCTTTCAATGATAGGACAGAGCTGATGTCTCTGGTTTCTGGTGCATTTTTAGTCTTCTTGCATTACCTTGTAGTTACACTTGGCATCCTCTTACCCACAATGCACTGAAGCCTCTGGTATTTACATTGTCAGGGAAAGGTCTCTTAAATATTAAAGACCAAAATGTAAACAAAGCAATAATTACAGGAAACTAAAAGAAATTGACATCTTCCCTTTTGAGTAAATTAGTCCTCAAAGACTAAACTATTCTAGCATCATGATGTGAGGAACAAGTTTTTGTTAGACATTTATTTTTCCATCTTCACTTTTAATTATATAATTTATGTTGCTTGCAAAGTAGCCCAAGCAGTAACTGTGGGGATATGGTAGTGTTTGCTTTTTAAACTTCTTTGTAGGGGCTGGGGATTTAGCTCAGCGGCATAAGCGCCTGCCTTGCAAGCAGGCAGTCGTGAGTTTGATCCCTGGTACCGATAAAAAGGAAAAAGACAAAAAAAAAAAAAAAAACTTCTTTGTAGATTTTCAAGTTTTTGATTATGAAATTTTCAGAAAACAAAGATGCATTTGTAAATAACATTAAACACTGACCTTTTCGATGCCCCCTCCCACTTCCTGTCCACCTTCCTTGCTTGATTTTTCTTCAGAGCATGTATTTTACATGCTATAGATTTTACTTTATTTAATAATCTGTCTTCTTTCCTTTTCCTGCTCATTAGAATGTAAATTTCATAAAGGTGGTGATTTCTGCTCCTTCATGCTATAAAAGAGCTTCAGTGCCTAGTACAATGTCTAATATATAGTAGGTATCCCTCAAACTTGGAATGAATACATCAACCATCCATCCCACTTTTTTGAAAATCTGATAAAAGCAGAGAGCTTCCCTCAAAAAATGTTTGAGTTTCATCTGGGTGTATGTAATCCCGATCTCTGGGAGGGTGAAGCTGAGGGTTGTAAATTCCAACCCAGCCTAGTTGATTTAGTGAGTTAGTCAGAACCTGTCTTAAAGGAAAAAATAACAGATCTAAGGATGTAACTCAGTGCAAAGGCCCTGAGGTTTTGACATCAGTAGCAACCAGTACAACCAAGAAAAAAGAAAGTTGTGTGTAGTTTAGGAGCTTTGCATTTGTTCTGATATTTGAAGTTATGCATTCTGGGGTCCATGGTGCCCTTGCCTATATTAGTCAGGCTTTTCCCCCCAAACCTCCAGTTCCTACAAAAGTAAAAATGTGGTTTTGAATATGCACAGTTCTTTCTGCAGACACAGTCTTTTCTGCTATCACATCTAAGCAGCTCTCTAAGACATCTGTAAGGGTGCTGTGATGTTTGGGTGCCCTTACTTGAAATGCTTGAGAAGTGTTTATTTGACCCTGTAAAACTGGAGTTTTGGGGGACCACATGTTCCTGTTTCTAAGCAAATAGCATAGTAAGATGCTGGGGATGCCTGGGGATGGGATCCAAGTCTAAAGGTAAAATACATTTGTGTTTCATCTACACTGTATACACACATAGTCTGAAGGGAATTTTACACAGTAATTTTAGTGCATCTGTGTTTGGACCTCTACTCATCACATTAGGTCAAGTGTGGAGTTTTCCACTTTTAGTCTTGAGAGCATCTCAGATGTTGGGGTTTTCAGGTTAAGAGTGCTTGCTGTGTTACTGTTGTTCTGACATCAGAAGACCTCCCAGTTTAGAGCAGGCAATAAATTGGATAGATATATCCATCTTTTATCAAATGGCATCCCAAGGGTCCCTGGTGCCTGGAGGATGTAACCTCCTGTCACCAACCCCACACAGGAGAATCACAGAGGCAAAGCCAGAGGAAGCAGCAGGTATCTAGGTCATTGTCTCCCTAGGGATCTCCCTCAGGTATCTAGGTCATTGTCTCTTTCACAGCCCAGCCTTCACCGTCAGGAGCAGAGGATGGTTCCCCAGCAACCCTGAGTTTACAGGGCCCCTTAGTTCAGGAGCCTAGAAGAGTGGCTATTTCCTGTTTTTTAGGATAGTTTCCTAATCCAGCCATGCTTGAATTGGGTGCAGTCTTCTTGTGAAATGAATTCAGCTTGGGGGTATGAAGCTGCACAGTCCTCCACCCTTTTTATTTGTTGGTTGGTTTGTTTCATTAGGTGGGGTCTCACTGTGTAGTTCAGGCTGGCCTACCCTGCCCCCCATCCCCGGGCTGTAGTTAAGGTCTTTGCTTTGGTATCAGAGAAGTGGATCAATCTGAAGACAGGCGCATATCCAGGAATGCAGTCACAAGTGGGAACCAAAGCAGACCTGGCCATTTGGGGAGGGGCTGAGGAGCGTCCCAAAGACTGTGTCTTTAATGACTGAGCATGTTAGAAATTTTTTTTTAATTTTATGCTTTTATTTTAGGTGTACCAACAGTGCCATTCTTGCCGCCGCAAGTAAGCCAGTCCCTCGCTTCTGTGCCACCAGTGAACCCAGCTACTACATTACCAGGTAAGCGCAGAGCACACAGATGTGAGTCCTGATAATGTTTGTGTCTGAAATTGTCTCAGACACCTGAGTAGTGACTTTTTGTGTCTTAATCAGCAAGGAAACAGAGATGTTAATTAGCAGCTAGTTAGCTGCAGCCTCCAGTTCCTGTCCCAGCTACCGTGCAGCACAGCCCCAACCCCATTCTCCCAAGGCTGCCTGAGCGAGGAATGAGTGTGCGGCAGCCCATCCTGCAACTCCTTTGTTGGAACTTCTTGGGTGCTGATCATTGAATATCCTGGAGGAGAGTGTTCCTTATTTGGGTCTTCAGTAGCTGTGTCTTACTTAATTTTCTTGTTGCTGATATACCCAAAATATACCCAAAATATACCCAAAGTTAGGAGAAAACAGGTTTATTTAGCTCACAGTTTGTAGAGGTTTCACTCTGTAATCAGCTGGATCCCAGACAGGGTGGCTTTGCAGAGAACAGTTCATGGCAGCAGAAGACAGCAAAACCAACAATGGAACCTTGGCAGCATCTTTCTGCCTCTTTTGTACTCCATCTTGGCTGTTGGGATTAGTGTGGTGCTAGTCCAGTCAGCAAACTAATCACACACCACACCTCTGCCAAAGCCCTAGGACCTCATGTGACCTTAGAGGGACATCTAGACACAAATCATAACAAGCCATAACATTGAACTTTGTATATTTTTCTTAGTTATTCCCAGTGAAAACCAGTTCCTTTTATATTCTTGACAGCAGTCAAATATTTTTTCAGTGAGTAAGTGTATTTTCACGTTGAGGGTTTTTAATTGTAAAGAGGTCGTCATCGCTCCGGGGTGTGAAGCCATGACCAAGCATGCAGGTCAGCAGGATGACGAAGCAGGTGCAGTACAGGGCTTGCTGTAGGGACTGGGGTGTAGGGGATGTGGGGATTCTTGTTACTAATTTTGCAGCCATTAAATCAGAAGTTATTTCAGAATAAAATAAGCAGAAAAGCTAGAGAAAAGCTGCAAATCTCAACCATCAAAGAAAAATTCAGTTCAATGTAACTACTATAATTGCTAAAATAGATTAGCCTTTTCTCCCAGGCACTTAGGCCACATCATTCTTGTTCCAGAATTTTAAGGTATTTGTTAGTATTTTAATTTTTACCTGTGTAGCCGTCTAGTCACTTAGCTATTTCAGCTGAAGAAGATTCTGAGGCTCCCATGCCCTTAACAGGACAGAACTGCCACACGTGAAGTAGTCACTCTGCTGGTGGGCTGTTTTTCAGTACACAGGACTGACTTCCGGCCCAGGTGAAGTGATTGCGCTTTGTTCTTTTCTGCCCCTGGCGCAGGTCTGATGCCTTTGCCTGCAGGACTGCCCGACCTACCCAGCCTCCCCAACCTCAACCTGCCCACACCACACCTCATGCCAGGCCTCGGCTTACCGGAGCTCGGGAGCTCAGGTACGGTGCCCGTCTCCCCCCCTGAAGAAAAAGCTGCCCTCAGGAAGGCTGGTTCTGTAGTTCAGTTTTTATCTGGAAAGGGCGAGTCGATGTAGCACAATTCATCCACTTCAGGTAAATTTTAAGCTTATTTATAAGCTTAAAAATAAAAAGAGGAGAAAAGACCATCTTGGTGATTGTCCTCTGCCTCCTCTCTCCATCTTCTCCTCTCTGTACTCACAGCTCGAGTACCAGAAAGGCAGTTGTGGGATAGAGAGCAGCTGCCGGCATTGCACAGTGAATTGGCCCGGGAAGTGAATTGGAACAGTTCACCTGGGAGGGCCCGTGCGTCCCTGTAATTCTCTTGGTGTCCGGGTGGCGGACAGCAGGGTAGGGGTGGTGCCCGTGTTGCTCAGCTGCGGCTGGGCGCTGGAACTAGGAGCTTGGGCTGTGAAGTGGTCCTCCTTGTCCAGCCAGCTGAGCTTGTAAATGTCCCCATGATGAACCAGTGTTTCCATAAGTAAATGCGCGAGCCCGCAGTGGGGAGACAGACGTGCAGCGCTCCCGTAGGCTTCGTGCAGCGATGAAGCTGAAGCAGCTGCGCCCCCCAGACCTGCTGTTAGAGCAGCCGAGCACTCTGGGGTGGTTCAAGAGCGATGGCAGTGCCAGACCCTGCTGCAGCCCGTGCCGTGGTCACCTTCGCCTAGACTGTGACTTTGTCCGTTGTGGAACACTGTCCGTATGTGTCCATGTGCTCAGTTTTCAGCATGCGGAAGTCCTAGGGAACTCAGGCTGCTACCACTTACTGCAGCCCGGCTCACAGCTTGTCTGGGGGAGTGGGAGCCCCTTTGCCCAACCATTGGCACCACATTGCCTGCCAAGCGGGCCTGCTTCTGTCCAGTGCCATGCCAAGGCGACACCCGAGAACCTTTGCCCTGGCCAGCCACTGTCACAGGGATAAATATTTAACTGTCGTGGCCCCTGGCCGGAGAGGAGCAAAGGTTATGATCTGTGTACTGTCCTTAGCATCAGTGTCCTTAATGAAACACGGATACTCTTCTGGCTGTGTCAGGACTGCTCTTCTAGTGCTGCGAGGACGCGTGACCTGTGCCATTTCCATCCTAGGTTTGCCACCTCTTCCTGCCTTGCCTCCTCGTAACCTGCCTGGCATCACACCTCTCCCCATGCCCGCCGAGCTCCTCTCGTCATTCCCCTTGGTTCCAGAGGGCTCCTCTGCGGCCAGTGCAGGCGAGCTGCTGTCCTCCCTCCCGCCCACCAGCAGCCTTCCTTCCGACCCCATCATGACTACTGCAATGGCAGGCGAGGCCACCTCACTCACTGTGGATGCTGCGTCCCCTGCTCCCAGGGCCCCCACCAGCATGGAGGACAGAGCCGGGGCCTCCACGCCAGCCAGTGAAAGGCCTGCGTCTGCTGTCACGGATGCAAGTGCTGCTGAGTCACCTTAACTTTGAACTGTTCTTCAGAACCAGCGTGGTGTATTTATTTAGCCACGGAAGCTGTCTGGAAATGCAAACTATCATTAATTTCATACTAGTTTGTACTGTATCTGTAGGCATTGTGTAAATAATTCTAAGGGGAAACCGATGCGAGAGTACGTGGGCTTGTGTCCTGCCAAGGCGGGCTGGGGTCCACTGCAGGGAAGCCGTGATCAGAAAGTGCTTGTACTTTAAACAACCAAAAAGAATTGTTGGCGTGGCCTGCCGCCAGGCATCTGCTGCCATTCTGGGGTGTGCATCTTTGGGGAAGGAGGTGCCAGGGTGTCTACTCAGCTCCCTGTCCCCTGCTGCTCCTTCCGTACGAAAATTGAAACATTTTATGCCTACTGCTCATACACAACATTTCTTGTACTTTACATCATTTAAATCATTCGCAAAAGTGCAGACCACTTCACCTAACTGTAAAAGGAAAAGATGCTTTACTTTTGGTCTCTGAGTCGCATCTCTATTAAGGTTTATACAAAAATTCCAGTTGAAGATGTTTGTTCAAGTTACATGGTGTGCACTATTAATTGAACATATTTTTATTCAGCCTCTACACAGAACCTTGCTCCAAGCTCTCAGTGTCACTCAGACAACATTTTGTAACTGCTGCTGTTGCTTTATACGTCCACCGTTCAGATGACATTTAAAGAAAATAAAGGACACGGTCCACGGTTTTAAAGCAGAAGGTGGCACTTGTAGCTGCTTACAGTACAGGTAGACTGGGAAAACAGATACAGCAATAAATACGGGACGTTTGAGTTTTGTTCTTGTGTTACACTTAAGTTACAAGCCAGTTGTACGCTTGTTCTTCTCCAGTAGATCCACATCGTTAAAGTAATTCTGTTTGGTTGTTCTAAGATGGTAGGTTAACTAAAATTGATGTATTGAATGACGTTAAATGTGTGTTATATCCCTTTTTGAAATAAGATGAAAATGGCTGGCCGGTCACTGACCTGGTGCTGGTAGACACGGATGCCCTGTAACAGAGGCCATCACTGAGGTGACCGCACACGTCCTTCATCTCCCACTGCTCAGCTGGAAGCTGGTGACAGTGCCAGCGGCACCTCGCTGTGGCAAGCACTGGCATCAGCTGTCCCTGGATCCAAATGTGTCCTTGAAGCTGGGTGATCAAAAAAGACCCCAAAGGGGCCAAGGATCGGGCCAAGGGTCTAGCTCAGCAGGGCAGCACCTGTCTGGCAAGCATGAATTTGATTCCTGGTTACCCTACCAGCAAAAAGGAAAAAGACCCCAGCTCTGGATAATCGCATCTTTTGTTCACATAATAAATATTTTTAGACTATGTGTCTCAGGTAACCATTGTACTTTTACAAAGGAGCTTATAACTGGTAGAGAAAATATTCACAAGTGTATTTTCTTTCCCACAAGCATATTTTAAATGTTGGCACTTTTTTACTTTACAGGATAGGAAAAATCGAGAAGGTTAATACTTTCCAGAAGATAGAACCCCAAAATGTTAGGAGTCCCTTAGTAGAAAGCAAGTGAGTGATTTTCAGGCTATACAAAGTGGTTTAAAGCAGCTGCTCCTGTGCAGTTGTTCTGAACTTGGGGACTGGTGGGGGCTCCACACGCAGCCCAGGGTCTGCCCAGACCTAGCCTAGGTCCACTCCCTGGCCCTCCCTAAGACGGAAAGCATTTGAGTGTTCGCTGCTCTCCTTGGGGAAGCCTTTGGTCTTTTCTCTTGGTGGAGGGGCTGGGACCCAGACCTTGTGAGTGCCTGGCACGTACTTTTCTGTGAGGCTACACTCCAGCCCCTTAGTTTCAAACTTTATATTAAGCTTTTTTCCCCAGTGTTGGGGACGCTAGGCAAGTGATCTCTCCACTGAGCTGGCCCCAGTTTCAGACCTTAGACAACAGAACCTGTGCTGGGTTACACGGCAGTGACCCTGACAGCAGGCCACTCCCTGTGGCCTTGCACGAAAGACAGGCCAAGGAGCCAGTGTCCCAGGGTAAGTGCTCCAGTCGTGGAGACCAGCTCCACAATAGCTGGGGACAGGAGGAGCCCAGGTTGGAAGGACCTTGGAAACCTCGCTGTGCAGAGGACATTAAGTTTGAATAAGTTCAGATAGCTTCGATCGTCAACTCACAGCAGTGGTGGTTTAGCAGAAAGCTTGCTGCTCTCATATTCAGATAGTCATCAGGACACAGGATCCAGCAGTCGGAGATCCTGATTTGGCTTCATCTGGGGTTCTGCTGAAGGTGGCTTCCACTCCAGAAGTCAAGGTGCACTCAGATGACAGCTGGAGCTCCAGGTGCACTCAGATGACAGCTGGAGCTCCAGGTGCACTCAGATGACAGCTGGAGCTCCAGGTGCACTCAGATGACAGCTGGAGCTCCAGGTGCACTCAGTTGACAGCTGGAGCTCCAGGTGCACTCAGATGACCGCTGGAGCTCCAGGTGCACTCAGATGACAGCTGGAGCTCCAGGTGCACTCAGATGACAGCTGGAGCTCCAGGTGCACTCAGATGACAGCTGGAGCTCCAGGTGCACTCAGATGACAGCTGGAGCTCCAGGCCGTGTGTCCTCCAGCCAGGAGACGGGAGCCCACCTTCCTTTAGGGCACTTAGGACCAATTTTGCACAGTGCAGTGGCAGTCACCCTTCTGGCCACTGGAGCCACATGATCACATCTAGCTGAAAGGCTGGGAGATGCAGGGGAGATGGGGAACAGGCCAGGGGGGACAATGAGAAGCCACCCATCTGCCCACAGTCTGAGCCAACAGAAGCCAGCAGAAAGGGGAGGGCGCTGAGGAGAGGGCAGTCGTCCAAGTGTCCGCGCCACGGAGGTGCTGAGGCAGGCAGCTAGAAGTCAGCACTTGAGTGTCAGTCTGGTCCTGCAGCCTGGCGCTTGCACAGGGGAGCCCTGAGGGGTGATTCCAGAGGAGCAAGGCAGTGAGCTTCAGGTGAGGCTGGAGATGGCCCTGCTGTCACCAAGGCCATCGGGGCAGCCAGGATGCTGAATCTGTGTAACTTCTTTTCCGTGAGTTTCTTCTGTTCTCTGTGGCCCACTGCGGGACTGCTTACCTTAGAGCAGCTGCTCTTAGCTCATTTCCTGAGAACGCCGGAGACCCAGAAGCAGCTTCCTGGCACCACGAGGCACCAACAGAAGCCCGGAAGTGGCTGGTCCCCACCATCCCAGCAGGGAAGCCCGAGAGCTGCTGCAGCCACCACGGTGGCCCAGAACATTCGGTCCCACCTTGAAGGAACTCAGGAGTGACGGGAAAATAAGGCAGCTCCGTAGGCCTTCCTGGAAACAGGGCAGCAAGACAGGTGCCAGAAGGGCTGTGGCCAGGAGGGGACCGCGGCAGCTATGGAGGCTTCGCGGGCCTGCACTTCCCGGGCGGGGGAGGGGCTAAAAGTTCAAGGGTGCGCCCTGTTGTAACCTCAATCTGCTGGCTACTGAGGTACATTTATTTTACTAGATACATTTATTTTATTAGAAAATAAAATACATCTTATGTCAATGATTTGTCAAAAGTGTTTTTATAGAAGTTTTGTTTTTTATAAGTTTTGTTTTGAGTCAAGGTCTGGCCATGTAACCAAGGCTAGATTCAAACTCAGGACCCCCCCCATATCGGCCTTCCAAATGCTGGGTGTTACGGTTTCTATCTAGATGTCTCCCAAGAGCCGCATGTGCTCATAGATGGGACTGTTGGGAGCTGAGTGAATCACTACCCATCAGGGATTGATGCACCGACGAGTTCACTGAATGTGACTTGGAGGTGGCGCCTGACTGGAGGTCCCCGGGCTGGGCATATTTCCTCCTTCCTTTACCTCCCTCTGCCGGCCCCCACCAGGCCCCCTGTGTGCTGCCCTGCCTTGGAGCCAGCCCCCTTTGGACTGAAACCTCTAGAAACTGTGAGACGAGCTACATCTTTCCTCCTTCGAGCTGTGGGTACTGTGCCTAGGATGGAAAATAAGACCCTGAGATTGCAAGCATTAGGGAAGGCCAGGTCTCCACACAAGCCCGCAGGGCTTTCCCTTTCTGTTAGGTCTCAGGCCTGTCCATTACAGTACAGTCCCTGACTCCTAGAGTGTGTAAAAACATCCCCAAGGAAGGAGGGGGCACACAGCACTCTAAATGCTGACATTTCTCCCTCCTATGTTGATAACTGAGATTTGGGACTGGCACGTTGTGTGGGGTGAATAAAGCCACAGGAAGGTCCCTGTCTACCAAGTTACCACTGAGGAAGGACCCTCTGAGCACTGATTTCTTTTTTTCTTTCTTAGACAGAATCTTGCTGTGTAGCCCAAACTGGCCTGAAATTTAAGCCTCCTGCCTCAACCTCCTGAGTGCTGGGATTATGGGTGTGCACCACCACACCTGGATTAGCACTGACATTTCTTGTATTAGATTTAGGAAGAACAATTTCCAGCAAAACGAATCAATGTTTTTAAGAAGTCCGGTTGAAGAGTGCGGAATTAACATCACACTCCAGAGCAGCAGGTCAGTGGAAGGGCAGAGCTGATCACTGCTCCTGGTCTGGGGTGCTGGAGTCTCCTGGAGGTGGTTCCTGAGGTTTCTCTCATCTTGAACAAAGAATTGGACAAAACAAGTGTAAACAGGGCCAGGGATTTGAGTTTTCTGGAAGGTTTCCAGGTAGAGTTTACATACGGATGTGGGTTTTAGGAAAGAGCACAGGGGAAGTGACACAGACTTGGAAATAGGGAACAGAAAGGCTAACCCTAGTGAATGTTGGTAAAAATTGTCAAGAGGTGAAGGAACTGGGGCCTTCCCCAGGAGTGACATGAACACCGCCACTACAGTGCAACGCAGGCAGAGGAAACCCCACATGCCACCACCGCTTAGGAGAGTTGGGATGACACCAAGTCCCCTGGCAGGAGACAGGCACAAGCCCTTGCTCCACAAAGGCCTCTATGGCTGGAGATGATAATCATGGTGACACTGTCCACAGTGTCACAGGTGGGGACGCAGAACCGAGCCAGCTCTGTGCAGCACTCTTGGGGGGGCAGCCTGCGGCCCCCACCAAACACGAGTCCTTTCAACTGCCCTGTATGGATTAATATATGAATGGCCAGTATTTAAAAATCAGAAGTTTTCCCATAAATCCAGATTTGTTTTCTCTTGAAATGTCACAAATCTGGCAAAAGATCAGTCCCACATGGAAACGAGCCCCCTTGAGCCTGTGCCCCCTGCTGAGGTCTGTTCCTAGGCTCCCAACACCCTAAACGGGTGCACAGCAAAGGCTCAAAGAGTGAGACACCCAGGATGGGGTTTAGGGCTCAGGAGGTGTGAAATCCTGGGCCGAGCTCCTGACCCTGCTAGGACTGACCCTGGGCAGCCCATATTTGATCAGGACAAGCAAAGAGTGGGGTGGACAATGGAGGAGACCTGAGCAGGATCTGGGAGGAGTTCAAGGACCGCTCAGAGCAACAGATGATACTGCTTAAGGAAAACTACCCAGAAGGTCCCCAGGTAGCCTCAGCTGGGGCCTACCTTGCCCCCTGAGGTGGTTCTCAGTTCAGCCATGGCCGGCCACGCCACAGCCCGTTCTCCAGCAACCCCATCCAGTCAGCCCTTCGGCGGCCTGGCCCTGCTTCCTGACCTCACAGGCATCCGAGTCACCCAGTGTTTCCCTGGTGCCCCCTAAGTTACCCTCTGTTACCCTGGTACTTGCAGTTGAGGTGGGGAAAGAGGAGGGACCTGGGAGATGGGCACTTCCTTATAGTTCAGGATTCAGAGCCTGTGGGGGTCCAGGGTCAGAAAATAAGGTCCTCTTGGACTTCATTCTTTGGAATCCAGTGGGCTGTCACTGACAAAATGTGAAGCAGTTAAACTGGGTATTGTGGCACATACCTGTGATCCCAGCACTAGTGAGGCTGAGGCAGGAGTATCATTGCAAGTTTGAGAGCAGCCTGGGCTACAAAGTGAGCTCAATGTTATACTCTATGCTTATCGCCCTAGTAACCATGTACCTGGAACACCAACTACATTGTTATAAATTAACTGACCGCATTGTCATGCTGTTTTGTATGCGTTGTTCCCCACCACCACCTTAGAAACCTGTTTGCTATGTCAAGTTTTGTTCCCTTGTAAGAGACAAAGGATGCTGTGTCAATCATGTTCCCTTTATGAGAGACAAATGTTTATGGAATTGGCAGACCAAGGGCTATGAGTGGGCTAACCACCCACTGTGAAATGCCTCTGACCTCAAGCAAAGGGGAACAAAGGCCCACCTTGTTTCTGTTTCTCATCACTATGTACTTAGTGATCAATGAGCTAATCATAAATGAACTACAAAAATCAGTCAAAATTCTAACTCA